GCAGCAAGTAGCATTATTGCCTTCAGCTGTGCTATCTCAACTGCATAGGTTCTGTCTAACAGGTAAAATCACTATCTTATTTTTTTTTTGATTTGTGTTTGAGAGAATCTCTCACTTGTAAATCTATAATATATCCTAAATTCAATGATTTATTTCTTGTATGAAAGATGTAGAGTAAACCACTGATTAATAGTTTAATTTTGAACTTACTCTCAGCGTTTAATTAGTTATTAGGCAGTTTTGCAGTTTGCAAGAAAAGTAATTTGTAGCTTAAGTCCCTAAAGTATATTTCTCTTGTTTTAACGCAAGAGTCATTTGCAGGAATTATAAATTGTTAAGCAAAATAGATATTCTGATAGGTTAGAAAAATAGATATACATGTTGTACTTGGTGTTTCAAATAGTGCCACAGCTTTGTATACTCTGCTTTCATAAATTCATATTTTTTTCATTCAGACACCAGTTTATTTATGAATTTTTTTTACAGTGCTGTAAATAGCAGGTCATTTTTTTATCACCTGGTCAAAGAAAATAACCATCTGTTGTGGCATTATCATTGCCCTGCTGTGTTTGGTTTACAGATAAGAGGGTCAATTTTTTAATTTTCCTGTTCTATTGTATTTGCAATGCTGCAGTGTGTAATGGTATTTGAATGGGTGGGTGGAAAACTAGAAATTCGGCCTTATTAAATGTACTGGGACTACTGTAAAATAATTTATATTAGCTAGAATTAATATTTACTGAGAAGGCATTTGGGCCATTTTGCATGACATTTATTTTTTACTGAATTTTGATGAGTTGAATGCAAAACATATGAAAAAAAGTATTTTCACTGATTCATTCTTTCAGCGAAAAAATAAAGTACTAAATAGTATTGGCATGTCACTTTTGTTCTACTGTACTGTAAAATACTCTTAAAATGAATTATAAGAATATTAATTTATCTAAAGTACTACAATCTGATTGTGAGAGCAAGCTTTATTTTGAATTCATGAAATTACAGGGCAATTAAATTACCTACAATAACTTGTTTTACAGTAAAAATGTGCAGTTGTTTTCCACATATAATAATCAGAGTTACTATAAAATAGGTAATTTAAACCCAAAATTACCAGTAACTGTGTCATTACAAGAATATTTTTCAACTACATTTTGTATTTCAAGTTCTTACTAGACATAGATTCTTATTTATATTTCTCTCCAATGAAATGGTGCAAATGTTGACAGATTAATTAAAACACAGTAAATAGTAGTGAGTGTTAAAATGCAGGTGATTATGGAGTGAAAGGTTTACTTGGCATGTGATTCTGTTACTTTTATGGAGGCATTCAGGAGACTATATTGTGCAGTAGTGCATTGACTATTTCTATTGTTGTACTTGACAATTGGTTTATGTAAATTAACCCGCCCACTAATCATTTACATAACAGTCACTAACAGTCGTAACAGTCACTGTTAATGATTGTCAGTGGTCACCTGATTCAAATACTTGTATACTGTAGAATACTTTACTGTAGAATATTTTATACGCTATTTTCGCTGAAGGGAAGATTCCGTGAAAATAAAATCCAGCGAATATACTTTTTTTCCTATATTTCACATCAAACTCATCAAAAATCAGTGAAAATAAATTCCATACAAAACGCCCAAAAAGCCTTTTCAGCGAAAATAAAGTATTCCACAGTAACAGCAAGTATAATGTACAGAGATGGTGATCGTTACACCTGTCCAAGGTTGTTCATGCAAGCTTCAACATTTTATTTAAACATGCATGTAACTGCTTTATTTTTATTTAACCTGTTGTGTTGACACTGCTATAGGGTGCACAGGTACACAAGTGTTTCCATGTACTTTTTCTATATTTATGTGCCTGGGGATCAAAGTTCATGGCTGGGATATATAAAATAAATATGTGGCACACTCTTATGGAAAGTGCTGTACTACCGTATTTGCTCTATTAGTGCATTTCTAGGTAATATAAACCCAAAAATCAGATTTGTTATGATCCACTAATTATTATTTTGGACCATGGAAACATGTAATATATATAAGCGTATGCTCTTCTTTGGTAATGGTACTTTACATAATTAATGCAATCAGCAAGCCCGTCATTTTGAATGAGTGTGTGGTCACAGTTATGTCGCTTGAAGGCTTATTAAATATTTGAATTTGAATAAAAGCTGATGAACAGTATTCACATATTGTTATAAATACTCGTGTTCATAAACTAAAATACAGCATTCTGCCTTTCACTTTTTTCAGTGTGTTTTATATTCTGATTTTCTTTTGAAATGATTAGTTATAACTTTCTGTAGTTAAGCACATGAACTTAATTTCTCAGTTACCAGTCAAAAAAAAATAGCAGAACTAAGACCCAGTGATTAATCAATGCATTTAGCGTTAATGAATAAAATAATCGACCAAGTTTTTTTCATCTCTCGATGCAACCAGATTCATGTTATTCACAATTACCATATCTGTACCCCTGTGTATTTTACAGTAGCTGTATCCAGTAAAGTTTGGATTCCTGTACTATCACCTCAGGTTGTACGTTCACACGAAACTGTGAAAATGACGAAAGAAAGAAAAAACAGAAGACGTGAGGTCGTTGCTGAGGATGTCACAGATAGTTTCCGTCCACCATATTCAGTACAGGTCAGTTTTGATTCAGTCACATGATCACTTGGACATACCGGTACTATAAAACATGTTTGTTTTTTTAGCTAATCTTTAATTCTGCTAATTCAAGATGTTGCTAATTTAAAAGACAGTATATTCGCACAATAAGTTCTTTGGGACTTCAGCTGAATTAAGATTCTGTTACTGCAGAATACTTTATTTTCGTTTGGAATTAATTTTCGCTGAAGGAATGATTCGGTGAAAAAAATTCATTGAATATACCTTTTTTCCTATATTTTACATTCAACTTGACACAAATCAGTGAAAATAAATTCCATACAAAACACCCAAAAAGTCTATTCAGCAAAAAATAATTTCAGCTAAAAAAAAGTATTTTACAGTAATTCATTAAATAAATCAAATTTGTTAAAATGGCATGTAGCTATTTAAATATATCTTGCTGTATACCATATAGCTGGGGTGATGGGGCTTTGTCACTTGCCTAAAAACTAAACCATGAGCCATTTTGATTTTACATACTACCGGTAGTAACTGCTTCTTTCGAGCAACCAACCTGGACAAGTATTTTTTGAGATCTGTGCCTCTCTATTGTGCCATTCCTCGTAATTATATTGTTGTATGATTGGAACCGAAGACATGTAATTTAATTACAGTCATCAGAGTTTAAAAAGCCATGGACACCGATGGGAAAGTCTTGTTTTGTCACACTGAAAATGAGAGAGGAGTCTCAACAACCAGAGATGTCTGCATTTGTGAAAGAAATCGTCTTGAGAAGACGTCAGTCTGCGGAGGACAGTGCTGACTCAAATGAAGAAGAGATCAAACTGACCAAGAGAGTGAGTAATAGGTGATATTTCACTCACTGTGGCATCTCGCATATTGTGTGAAACGTGCAAACCGAACGTCTGATTAGCACAGGTCTCACAGTGAACTAAAAATGGTCTCTTCTACCCTATTTAGCATTTAGTATCAGTATTTAGAAAAATTGGAAAGTACTGGTAATATTGGTTTGATTATTTTTTTAAATAAAAATGGTCATAGTGATGAAAGTAGAACATTCTCATTCTTCTTGACATTGCAATTTATTTTCATAGTTACTGTAATGCGGAAAATGTTATCATCCATTGCATTGGGTAGTCACTGGAATGGATGTCAAGTACATAAACCATGGGGTTCTTTACTTGGAAAGTTCTTCAATATTTTTGTAAATACCAGAAAAGGTATAAAATAGTGAACATTTCTATCAGTGAAAATGATATAAAGTGTTGATACATATACTGGGTTTAATAGTGATATATCATTACAGTCACACTTCATTGTATATGATACATGTATTGAAGTAACCAAGTCGACACTGCATCCTATGCTCAAAATGTCCCAAAACTGTGAGCACAAGCTGAATAATTGTTTTGCTTGCTTCAGTGTAACTTGGTTATGAATTTAACTGGCTGAATACAAGATTCAAAGTCAGTGGAGTGATAACTGACTTTTGTATTCGAACAAATCAAGATTTTTATTCTGTAACTCTCATTAGTTCTGTATTGTATGAATGCTAATAACTTTTTAATAAAATTTTTGTCTTGATTTCAGACATGGTGTGCTGCTCCTTTTAGTAAATCTTCCAGTTCATGTAATCTTCAACAAACACATTTACGGTCCTCACCACGAAGATCAAATAAGAAGAAAACCAAAAACCCACTACAAAGAGCCAAATGGATTTTAAAAGGTATGTACAAGTGTGTTAAATCGTGGCGTTAATTACGCTAGCATTACCTCAGTGTTTTCACCCTGAAGATAAATATTATGGCATTTTAAGCAGCTTTAGTTTTGCAGGGAGAAAACACACAAGTCAGTGAAATTTTGTAAAAGTGATTGGAGGGTCTTACATGTATGACATGGGAGCGTCAGGGTCTTTCGTAAATTTTTGTATGCTATGAAATCATCAAAATGCAAAAATTCCTAGTGCTGAAAATTAATGGTGTTAAAATACCTATTTGTCTGCCGGGTGGATATGATAAAAGAAAACATTTCTGATTTCATTTCTTTGGCAGTTAAAAAAATGTATGTACTTAAATTTTGTGTAATTTATCTAATATATTTTTCTCATTTTTTTATTCATTTTCAGATTCAAGGCACCATATAGCTGATGCATGGCAGAGAATCTCACATCTTGTTACCGAGGGTGAATTGGAAAAGTGCAATGCTAAACTAAATGTAAAGTACAACAGAACAATTTAAAATAATGTATAAAGTACGCTATTAAAAATACATCTCCAATAGAAGCACAAATAAATCAAAAAACTCTCAGACTGTCTTTTACTTGCATTGCATACTGAATTATAAAACAATGACATATTTTTGCCTTAGATACACTTATGTCATTTATTTCATATACACTAATCATAGAGCAAATATGATATTGTTTACTGGATTAAAAAGATTATTTATTTCGACATTTGATACACACCATTTACCTAATCATAATGCTACTCGTAGAGCAAATACATGTAATTTACATAAGCGCATACCATACTACTACTGAAAAATCTGTATTAGAAGCCAAGTTTTCTATTGAAATTGTATATTGCAATTGAAGGGATGCAGCTTCTATTAGAGCATCTACACATATGAGAAATGGTGAATTTTTGGTTCTCGATTGTTCAAAAAGAATACAGATTTTACGATAATAGAGCAAATGATGTACATACCATCGGTATATGAATACATTTTTGTTTACCACACTGACATCATCTACTTATATTTTAGTATCCATTTGATTACACTTATTTTTCACATTCTTCTCATTTAACAAAATGAATGTGTTTGTGTTCTCTAGGGACACAGTGAAGTCTGGCTGTATTGCAATCTTGGTGATGCTGAAAAGGTAGGTGTATACATCTTATGTAACAAATACTGTGAATTATACTATATTGATATTTTATCATCTTTAATTGGGTTTTGAAGTTTATGGATTTTAATTTTAATTGTTCTCACGGATTTTACTTGTCAGCAAAAAAATTCAATTAAATCCATTATTGTCATCAGAAACTTGAAGAAAATGTCTCAAGGCAAGGTTTGTCAACATCTGAGCACAACATTCTTGGCAGCTACAGTAAAGTATGAAAGCTGTTTTTCCCTTTCATTTTGGCTATCCATTGGACCTTTCAGCTGGCAATGTATTAAAAGGACAGCATTTAAATCTCATTTGAACAAACAATGTACTTTACAGATGATATTTCTTATCTTGCTATGAAAAAGAGGATGACAATGATATATACAAGTTCTGTCATTTTTAAACTCCCAAAAATTCTAAACTTTATATTTTCTTTATTCCCAGGTTGCTGAAATCTTACAAGAAAAGTTACTTGTCAGATCAGGGAAATCAGGATCTTTAGGATCATGGACATTAAATTATAAACAATACGTGTTATCCAGTTGAACATAATATGCAGTCGTGACCAACCAATATATTAACCAGTGGTTACCAACCAATATATTAACCAGTGGTTATCAAGCAATATATTAACCAGTGGTTATCAAGAAATATATTAACCAGTGGTTACCAACCAATATATTAACCAGTGGTTATCAAGCAATATTTTAACCAGTGGTTACCAAGAATATATTAACCAGTGGTTACCAACCAATATATTAACCAGTGGTTACCAAAATATATTAACCAGCAGTTACCAACCAATATATTAACCAGTGGTTACCAACCAATATATTAACCAGCAGTTACCAACCAATATATTAACTAGTGGTGACCAACCAATGCTAGTTATGAAAGTTGTAATGAACTGACAACTGCAGATATGCTTTGAACTTACCGGTAATTCTAAACCAACCTGTGCTAGGTTGACCTTGCAATACCATTCCTTGCGAGTGGCTACATTGACTGAAATGTCTTATTTTTTTATTTGTCTGACTGTAAGTTATAGCACCCTCTATGGCACACTGTATGACCTTTTACACATGAGATTATAATAATATTAGAATTCAATTTCCTTTTATTGAAATAATGTTAAATTTTCAATGATTGACATGTACATAATGTAATAAGTTAAGTATGATCATTTGATGTCATTCTGTTTACAGAAAATACTGCATTTGCTCTATTAGAAACACATGCTGTATAAACCTAATGTATTTGGTATATACTGAATATATCAATTTAGAGCAAATAAAAGATTCAAAGTCAGTGGAGTGATAACAAACTTTAACAATAACTGGCTTTTGTATTTGAACAAATCAAGGTTTTTAGTAAAATATCATATTTATTCTATCAAAAAAGTGCAATCTTGATAGAAGTGCATGTAATACAAAAACTGCTTGTATTGTATATTTTTACCAAAAACACACATATCTAAGCACATGCGCTCCTCGTAGAGCAAATATGATATTGTAAAACTACTTCTTAGATGACTGCTGTAAATATTGTATTATTTTTAAGACTGAATATTATTTATTAATCTTGTAAGTTATTTTATGTAAAATATAATTTGTATTCAGTCGTTTGTGAACAATTTAATTGGTATCTACAAAAATTGCTACATCACTTTATTGATTGCATGCATTTATAGATGATGGATTTTATTTATTTTTTTACACCTTTGAAAATCAATAGAAAACTTTGCGCACACATACACACGTTTTAGGGTGTAACATAAACTTGCACGTGAGATATTATGCTTTTTGTATCAATTGCAGTTACAAAAATAAAATTCCCTTTCATTGAATATCTGTAATATGACATGTTTGTATTACATGAGAAAGCAGGTATATTTCAATACCCCCAGTCTTGCTATTTCCAGAAAAGTAGTCTATGATATGAATTTTTGAAATACAGTTTTCTATAAAAAACCTACTCAGATTGATTGATATTTCTATTTGGAAATATAACACACAGTCTGTTTCGAAAAAAAAGTTGTATTATTCAAATGTACATGTATGGCTTTATGTATGACCTCTAAAAGTCACACATCCTGGCACTTTGACCCATAAAGGTCATACATCCTGGAATTTTCTGGGGTTATTGCCATATAACAGCGATTATTTAGAATACTATATTTCTGTTTTTATGTTTGGCTGTTATTGAACTTCAATGACAATTGTACTTTTTAGTAATTATTTAGAAATTCTCATTTATAATGAATTTATAGCCCCATCCTCCAAAATCTACAAGAATATGTGACCTTCAGGGATCAAGCAGAATGCCTATTATAATTGAACTGTATTTATCAAATATATGGTAGGTTTGGCCCTATCAACAGTAAAAAAGATACTGCACAGCGCCCTCCAGCATTTCTGACATGTTCTCATAGAGGGCGCCATATATCATTGTTTCCCACTTGCTTGATGAATGTTTGTTGCTTTTGTGTATTCTGACTAAAAGGCAGATTACAAAGATGTTTGCAATACAACTCGGGTCAGATATCTTTAAAACAGTATTTATACATTGTATTATATTTATGCTTTTTTGTTTCTAGAATAACTAAATTCTGTAATAGTAGGGATTTCAGATATTACTAATAGGATGTAGTGAAAGATTACATGTTTGTAAATAGTGTGTACATGTACATGTATAATCAATAAAGATATGTCAAGCCTTAACATACATTTTGTTTGTGTATGTGATACATGTGGCAAATAATGTAGACTATATTTCATAAGATAAATTTTGAAGTCTGAAATTGCGAAATTTTATAGCTGTGAAAAGTTCCTGAAGACAAAGTCATGAACGCCATTGGGACCATTCAAGCCAAGTTAAAATATAGCATTACGGGAAACCGTAGGCAATCAGGATCGTGTAATTTTGGTACTTGCGTACCATCCTTTAAATGTCAGGATTAGAAACATTATGTACAAACATTTTCACATTTTACAGACCAGCGAGGAGACAAGTTCTACGTTTCCACTAATGCCTACTACTGCCTGGCGCCTGTGACACTAATTTAAGGAGGGTATTGGTGCATACGGGTGAAAGGGGAGACCCTGAGAAATATGGTTCTGTCCCGTGTAATCGTCCTACGTGTAATACTTAATGTCCTTTTATTACATACTCTAATCGTATATTTGATCCCAAGGGAGATGTTGCGGTCAAATATCCGTTCAGTTGTATCACTATGAATGTTGTATATTGCATTTCATGTATTAAATGCGGGAAACTTTACATTGGTTCTACAGTTCTTCGACTGGGTGATCGGTTTGCTGAGCATCTACGGCAAACTAGACAGAAAAATCGTTATTATCTGGTTTCACTTCATTTTAATTCTAGTGGACATAATATTACAGATATGTCTATTTCTGGTGTATGTGTTGTCAATGGCAACGAAAATCAGCTCAGGCGTGTCGAGGAGGAAACTATATTCCGCCTTGGAACTAAAGAACCCCATGGTATTAACAAACAGTTCAACTCATTTGTTGAGCTCACTACCTAAGGCGCGTTATTTGTTCTATTGTGGAATTTTTTGTGATTCTAACTTATAGTTCATGCGCGTTCTTGCGTTCCTATGTTCTACCTCTACGTTATAACACTTTCTTCTATGCTATCGATAAAGAGCCATTGCTCGAAACGTCTAGCTATTTTTAATAGTTATTTAGGACTACGATTACCAAATATTATCTTCTATATATCATATTTATCAGTCAGAGCAGCGTTTATTTATTTATTTATTTTTTCTTTTATTTATAGTTTTGCTCAAGCTGACTTAGTCACCCTGTCTATGAATATTCATTAGTTTACCGACTTGGATAAAAGACAAAAGCGAGCGAGTTCAAAATCAGCTTACATCAGTATAAACAAACAAAGAGAATCACCTTGTAGGTGATAAACCAATGTGTGCATACGTATATTGAGTAGGTGGGGGGGGGGGGTGCTGACATGATAGTTATGTAAGACAAACATGACATAATCTTTAATTTGGTTCAAACTTTCTCTAAAAAAAATTTTTGACAATTTCTAGCAGCAAAACGTTTCTCACAAAATTTCCTCACCAATTACATTATCCAAATCAAATCACAAATAACAATGTTCACAAAATCAATTGTTTGTAACATCTGGTATTTCAATTTGTCAAGTACTTGCAGCCCTGTACCGGTATTTGTAACTCCCAATACAGTAATGACAGAATAAGATCTAAGAACAACAACAAAAATATATTAGTTTATTCACAACTACATTTTACTCAGTTCAAGTTCTTTGTGAAAATACAAATAAACCATAAAAAAGCTCAATTAATACAAATATTCAGATTGTAGAGGATTTGTATGAACCAATGACCCCCCTTCAGTCTGAAATACTAAACATAAAAATATAAAATGTTGCACATCAAGCTTAGATTACAACTTTCACAAATTTTGTATTAAAAGTCATATAACTGATAGTACCAGTAAAATCTGTATTAGAAGCTGCATTTCTCATATGTGTAAATGATTTAATAGAAACCACACCCCCTCTGTTGCATTGTAACCTTTCAATAAAAACCGTGAATTTTAATACAGATTTTATTAGTAAATAATTCTATCTACTATGGGGGGGGGGGGGGGGAGAGAAGTGTTTTATTTAATCAAGAAATTATAAACGCTTGTTTTAATAAGGTATGAATTAGCAGATGTTTATATATTCTTTTTATTTCACTGTGTAAACCAAGGTAAACGTTGTCAGGCAGCGGTTATGAATCACCAATGACCACGCCCTCGCTGAACTGCCCTAATTACTAGTATACTGCA